TGCTCAGGGTGGGCCAGAACGCCCCAGCGCATGACCCCAACTCTCAGCCTTGAGTGGCAGTTCATCTTTTCCTGTCTTCCAATCTTGCTTCTTCCCTCAATTCCTAAGAAACCGTTTGTGTCTCAAACTCTTCCTCAATACCTGCTACTGGAGCATCCAACTTCTGACAGTTGATTATATGGCAGACTAACAAAACTATTCATCTACTGTGAGACTGGCAATTATAAAAGAAAGAATTCCCAAAAAACTAAGATGAGTAATGGAAAAAAAGGATACAGTGATATGGCCATAGACATAAAGGTACCTAATGAACAGCATTTAGCCAAAACATATAAAATTATATACCCAGAGTACACATTTTAGATAAACATGGTTTAAGAATAAAAAATCCATATAATTATGTAAATATTCCTAAAATATAACTTTTAATTTCTCCAAATTATTTCAAAACTGACAAAAAAGATAAGAAATTGCATTACCTGTAACAATTAACTCTCCAACTTGTAACTAAGCGTACTCTTTTTAAAAGAACTAAGGGAAAATAGCTGTGTAACAACTTTTTGTGATAATATATTATAGACAATATATCTTACCTATATCTTCTACTCTGAATTACTACTAGGAAGGCAACCATATATATTGTATCAACTACTGAATCTGTTCTAATAGTCTGTTTGAAACACAATTTCATGGTTATGTTCATCTTTTTTTAAAAGGAAGGAATAGCTGTAATGGGGGAAACAAGAAAATGAGGGGAATACACACACACACACACACACACACACACACATGCACATGCACAAGATAGCTGTGATAATTGTACTATTGATTTCTATTGGTTTGTTGAAATGAACAGTTAATGCTCAATTATTTGATTGATCTTGCTTGCAGATGTCTGGTGATCTGAGCAACTACTTTGAAGACAACAATGTATACTATAACAACTATTGTTAGCTTCCTATCACCTTGTTTTGAAATTCTGTACTGTTTTTATTTTTTTGCTGTTGTTTCGTTTTTGACTTTCTGGTTTTTTCTCTTTAAAATTAAAATATTAAAACTACTCTTCAGTGACCTTTTAATAGATCTCATGTAAAACATTTGTAAAATCTTTGGGATGGAGATAGGAAAACTTTCTAAATTATTTTTGAACTCTGTATTATTTTATATACCAAAACACTTCAGAGAGATAGTAAAGGGGCTATAGCAGGGATATACCTCAGTGGTACTAAAAAAAAAAAAAAGAAAAAAGAGATGGCAAACAAGGAAAATTTCAAGCAACTCTCACTGATAAATACTGATGTAAAAGTCATAAGCAAAATATTAAAAAAACAAATCCTACAGTAAACAAGGAAAACTAAAGTGACTCACTTAACTTGCTTGTTGCAGAAAGATAAAGCTGCTACCTCATAATCAGTGAACAGAATTACTCACACTGATGGAGTCATAAAGTACAATGTACATAAAATAATAAATATCACTGGACCCATAATAATTTTGTGAAATGTGGCATCTA